ATGCTCCACCACTTGCGCTAGGACGGCCTCCTCCGTCGCGCACTTTTCTTTGGTGTGGCCCCACCCCTCGCAGCGTGCACACCACGGCACGAAGTCCTTCTCGTTGGTAGTGCACGCGATCGCTCGATGTCCACGATGTCCACACCTAAAGCACCGGCCCGGGAACTTATAGTCCCCGCCACCGCCGCCATCGGCGCCTCCACTGCTGGTTCCCTTGCTCTCCTCGACGCCTCCGGACCCTCCTGAGCGGCCGACGCGACCGCCGCCGCCGCGGCCACGACTGCTGCTGCGGCTACGGCCGCCGCCACGACCACGACCTTGCCCCTGACTCCTACTTGAGTACCGCTCCTTCCGGCCCTCACCGTCGGCGAAGTACGCTTGCTCTGCGCCCTTCGCCCCTTTTCCTTTCCCCTGCTCCAGCTTGTCCTTGATCGCCTTGTATTCAATCATTACTTTCTTTAGCTCACCGGTCCGCGTCAACTCCTTCGCGTGTCGAAGGTTGTGCTTTGTCATGGCAAACTCGTCCGAAAGGGCATCCAGGAAGAGGTGAAGGACGAACGTGTCGTTGACAGTTAGTCCTTTCTCGGTTAAGGACATTGCGGTTTGGAGCATCTCATTAAGGGCGTTTTGGGGCTTTTCACCTCTAGATATCTTGGTCGACGTCAGGGACTTGAGGTCCTCTGACGGCTGTACAGATGATTCAGGGTCGTGTATGGTCTTGAGGTCACGAAGAGCTCCCTGGGGCGTGCCCTCTTCATGATTTTCCGATCTTTTTCTTTCAACGCGTGAGACAAGAAGTTCCACGCGTGGAATGCGAGCTCTACTTGCTCGCTTCGGTACTGCTGTGACAGTAAACACTCGCTCTTTCCGCTGTTGACGGGGATCTCCAAGCTCCCGCTCTCTTCAAATTGTTCCAACAGGTTTGCGCCAATAGCTGCCATGCGGAAAACATTTAGCCATTTGTTGAAATCTTTCGATTTCCCGCTGAACGGAGGACAAGTGTACCGCACACTTTGGTACCCCGTCGCTGGGGTTGTGTCTCCGCATCCGAAGCCAACAGCAGCACCACCATCTCCCATGACACTACTATAGTCTTGGTTGTGAGCAGCGGCTACTCTCACCTCTTGGGGGACAAAGCCCCCTGCTTCGCCGCTGTGTCGCCCTGACGGACCAGACTCTCGACCAGGTTCGCGCAGGTACCTCCCGTTCTGCGCACTCCCGGTCCACGGTGCCCCTCCTTCGGCGTTCGTGGACTCCGCGGCGGTGCTCTCCCTAGCATCGCCGCGATCAGCGGCACCCTCCATGGTGCCAGCTGGCTCCTCCTTCTTGCTTGCCTTCTTGGTATCTTCCACTAGCGACATTAGCTGGCTCATCTGATCCGTCAGCGAGCTAACTTGCGTCCTCAGGGCCACGAGCTCTTCTCTTGACCTCTTTCTGTCTTCCGCCGCAGAGTCGCTGGAGGAGTCACCCCCACATTCCTGATGGACTCTCCCTCGAGGGACTGACACTAGTGTGTTCGTATATGTCCTTTACTTGGAAGAGAAGACGTTTAATCTCTTGTATTAGACACGCAAGGGGAGTAGGGAAAAGTGAAGCCCTCTTTGGAGTTCGAGGGGTTCCCGCACATGCAATCATTTCAAGGTGTACATATGGCCCATCTGCGTGCCCTCTGTTGTTGCCGGTAGATCTAACCAGTCCGTATCCAAACACACGAACAGACGTAACACAAAAGGCATCAAACTCCAGAAAAGATCGTACCGTATGCAAACTGTCTCCTAAACAGGAACTCCGAAAGCCCCCCTGCTCCCTGAACGGTATGCCTTCATGCATGTCAAACGACGCGCTCTCATCCCACTTCGCGCGCGCGGCCAGAAACACACCGCGGAGAGCTACCACTTAACTCAGGACCTCACATAACAACCAACATATCGAAACACTTAAGTGCAAAGTGTCCAGTTCGTAGAACAAAAAAAAACTCGACTGAACGCACTCCCTCCAAAGAATACGGAAATAATATGAAGCATTCAGCTGCTAGGTTAAACGCGACTGAAAATATACCAAGAACCAAGGAAAAAAAAAATGCCCACGTGCTGCTTCCTATTCCAAAGGTTGTGGCAATGATAATATTGTCGCAGCGTACAATTATTATCATGAAACCAAGTACAAAAAAAATAAACGCGAAGCCAAATGGCGAAGCTAAAACGTACATGCCTGCTCACAAAACCGAACAAAGTCGTAAACGTTTCACATGTTCTCCCACTTGGCTGTAACAAGGTGAGGTCGTCGCTGTCACCGTGTCCTCCCCGTTCCCGGTCGACTCGAGGGCGCCACCGCTGCTGCCGCCGCTGCCATCGCCGCCGTTGCCGTTCCCCCGCCGCCACGACCGTCATGACTTCCAGCGCCAACACGACTGCCGGTGGCGTCGCTGCTGCCGCCTCTACCACCGCCGCCGTGGTCGCCGCTGCCGCCGACGGGGCTCTGGCCAAAGCCGCCGCTGCCGTCGTCTGCTGCCGTCGGAGCTCTGGCCGAAGCCACCACTCCCGTCGCTGCTCCTGCTGAAGGGGTAGGCCACCCCTGGTACCGCCCCCCGTCTCCTCGCTCCACGCGAATATTTCGTACCGGGGTCGAAGGGGTGCGTCGGGGCTCCACTCCAGGTTTCCTCCAACCCCTCATCCCCGCTCCCATCACCACCGCTTTCCTCGTTGCTGCTGCCACTGCTGCTGCTGCTCACGTCCCCCTCAGCCTTCCCGGGGTCGAAAAGGTGCGTCGGGGCTCCACTCCAGGTTTCCTCCAACCCCTCATCCCCGCTCCCATCACCACCGCTTTCCTCGTTGCTGCTGCCACTGCTGCTGCTGCTCACGTCCCCCTCAGCCTTCCCGGGGTCGAAAAGGTGCGTCGGGGCTCCACTCCAGGTTTCCTCCAACCCCTCATCCCCGCTCCCATCACCACCGCTTTCCTCGTTGCTGCTGCCACTGCTGCTGCTGCTCACGTCCCCCTCAGCCTTCCCGGGGTCGAAAAGGTGCGTCGGGGCTCCACTCCATATTTCATCCAACCCCACGTCCTCGCTCCCATCGCCGCCGCTGTCCTCGCTGCTGCAGCTGCTGCTACTGCTGATGCTGATGCTGCTGTTGCTCACGCCCCCCCCAGCACATTGACTATCAAGCTCCTCGAGGACTGGCAATGGCATGGTTGTCGTACCAACCGCTTCCTCCAAATTTTCGTCACATACCTCCGTCACCGATCCGGCCACCGCCGACGCTGCTGTCGGGGACGGCGCTCTGGCCGAAGCCGTCCGCACCACCTCCGCCTCAGCCGATGCTACTGTCGGTGACGGCGCTCTGGCCGAACCCGTCCGCGCCGCCGCCGCTCCTGCCAATGCTGCTGCCGCCGCCGCCGCTGCGGCCGTCTGTACACCCATTGCCAACGCGGCGACCGGGGACGCCGCTTCTGCTACTGCCGCTTCCGACGAATGCTTGGGTTGTTGTGATTCCGCGGACGGCGAAACTACAACAACGTGATACGATCCAAGCATGTGTTCCTCCGCTACACGTCTACTGCTGTATCCACCCTCGGTGAGATTCAGCTCATCGCGTTACCGCACGACTGCAAGTGCTACACGAGATGCCGCGGGCCGCTGGGGAGAACGAGTGGTGGTGTGTGTGTACGTTGAGAGAAGCTACGCTGGCAGGGGCTTCTACCGGCAAAGACGCCGCAAAAAAACCGGCAGCAGCCCCCCCCCCGTTCTCACCAACGAACACCCCACCAATCACCTGTCCACCTTCACCCCCGGTGAAGCCGGCCGCTAGCTGTTGTTGCCGCGGCTGTTGCTGAAAGTCACCGCCGTACACCACGCCTTGCTGCTGCTGCTGCTGCTGCTGCTGCCGCCGATACACAGACCCGCCGCCAAACTCGCCGTTCCTCCGCCGCTGCTGAAACGGTCCGCGGGCGAAAGCTGGAGCTACAGGAGCGCCGTTGTAGGACAGTAGAGGTTGCTGCTGCTGACGAGGTTGCTGCTGTAGGAGCTTCTGCTGCTGGCTATACTGCTGTGACATGGGCTGCTGCTGCACCGATGGCTGTGTCACGAACCTCTGCCGCACGCACGACTGTTGCTGCTGCTGCTGCTGCTGAAAAAGACACCCTCTGCCAATCACGCCGTACATCCACTGCTGCTGGAACGACTGCTTTGCGGGAACACCTCCGCAGGACTGCTGTTGACCATGCTGCTGTTGAAGAGAAAAACCTCCACAGCAGTCCCGCCGGAAATTTCCACCGCCGACACGAAGAGCGTGCGGGTCGCCGGTCGGCGCTGCCGTCCGCCGCGCAAAATTCTCCAGGTATTTCTCGGCGTGGAGGCTACGACCAAGAGTCTCCAAGCGTTTGCGTGTGAGCGAGCGATCACACATGAGCACCGGCTTGAGCTGGTCGTAGTCGGCCGAGAGGTTTCTAACAAGCGTCGCAAGGACGTCTGTATCCGTGATCGCATCGCTGTTGACAGCACGGAGAGAAAACAGCACGTCGTCGAACGTTAGAAAGTACTCCTTTGGCTCCTCTCCAAGCTGCATCTTCATTTTCGTGAGAGACAGCTTAAGTTCGTCCTGCTCGGAGTCACTCATCGGAGGGCAAAACTGTTGTGCAGGCTCCCACGCCCCAGGCACAGTCCCTGCAACCAGGATTCTAGCCTGGAAGTTGGCCCTTGTTGTGGCGCGTATCAAGTACTCAAACGCACACTCATGATCGCGTACGCGATGCTCACCGTGTAAGCGGACGTTTTTGCTCCTTGGCGGCCCGTTGACGGACCAGATGCGTTGGTCAGGACTGATCGGTGGGACGAGTGTGTGCGTAAGTTCTTCGCGGGCGAGGAAGAACTTGAACAGCATCTTGAACAGTGGGAAGTTGCCGTCGTACACCGGTGGCTTCCGGTCCTTCCGCCCGTAATCGCGGTAACGCTGCTGCTGCTGCTCCCGATCATCTTGAAAAAAACTAGCCGATCCCCCGGCTCCACTCCTATAGAGTTGTTGTTGTTGTCTTCACATTAAAAACCATCCCGGTCTCTCTATCCAGTACCTCCTTCTGTCTCAATCTCTCCGTACTAATCCATCACTTGACTCGGCCAATTTCCGTGGTCACAGGCTAACGTACCTAGAAAAGGTATACCAAAATAAAATGGACCCCAAGGGTCAGCAGAGCGATAAAATNGCCCGTAATCGCGGTAACGCTGCTGCTGCTGCTCCCGATCATCTTGAAAAAAACTAGCCGATCCCCCGGCTCCACTCCTATAGAGTTGTTGTTGTTGTCTTCACATTAAAAACCATCCCGGTCTCTCTATCCAG